CCCCAAAACCCCAAAACCCCAAAACCCCAAAACCCCTTGGGAAATCTCCAAGATTGAAAAGATTTGTTAAATTGAGTAGAAATCTTAATTTCCACTAAATTTCTCTAAACTTCCACTAAATTAGCAAATTTTTAAGTCACAAGCTTTTAAATTTTTACTTTTGAATGTAGTCCCATGACCCAGAGGGCACAACTACGAGATGTTTGAAGCTAAAGTAGCCAGCGCTGTCATTTTGAAGAAGATTATTGACTCAATCAGAGACCTTGTATCTGATGTGAACCTTGACATTACTTCTGAAGGAATAGGATTACAAGCCATGGACTCTTCCCATGTTGCATTAGTTTCCTTAACTCTACATCAGAAGGGATTCTCGGAATATAATCTTGAAAAACCAGTAACTATTGGTATTTCGGTCTCAAATCTAGCAAAAGTGATGAAGTTGGCAAGTAATGATGATGAGATTACCCTTGGCCTTGCTGAAGAACCTTCTCATTTGAAGGTCGTCTTTATGAACAAGAAGCAAGAAAAGCGTACCCAGTTTGACCTGAATTTGCTTACCTTGGATTCTGAGCATCTAGGAATCCCTGATACTAACTATACTAGTGAGATTATGATGAACTCCTTTGAGTTTTCAAAGTTGATCAAAGAACTTAACACACTTTGTGACACTGTAACCATCGAAACTACTATTGAGTACGTACGTTTCTCCCTCGAAAGTGATGTTGGAATCGGAAACATTCAGATCCAAACAAGTGAGCCAGCTGAGAAGAAAGAAGATGCAGCAGATGATCCAAAAGAAGATACTCCTGTGATTCAAAGCTTTGCTTTGAAATACCTCAACATGTTCAACAAAGCATCATGCTTATCTAACTCAGTTAAACTTATGATGGCTGCAGAGACTCCACTTGTTGTAGAGTTTGAAATTGAAGATATTGGTGAACTAAAGTACTACCTTGCACCGAAGATCAACAATGATGCTCCTCAGTAATTACATTTTCTTTAATTTCTTATAAGTTCTTTTAAAACTTTTTGATGTAATAAAATCTATGGATATATTTAGCTTAGGGGTAAAAACAGAGCAATACTAAAGCTGCCTTCTGTGGTTTACATATATGTGTCTTAATTATAAATTCTATCTGAAAATATATAGTTGTATGTCTTCCTTTAGCCATCTGTGTCTGCAGAAATAAGTGAAAAATAAGATACCTTCAACTTTGAAAATTATGCGACAAAGTTTTAAGGTTTGATCAATGAAATATGCATGCTAGGACATTTTGAAGATGCTAAGCATAACCTAAGTTCACAGTAATTTCAGACATTTCTGCAAAGGTGATCTCTCATTTGGCGGTCAATGAGTTTTGTATGCTTTGATGAGATTTCACATGGATATATTGCTGCCAAAGTTCTGGACTAAACCCTCGAGTGACGAGCCAGAAAATGGATTATGAAAATAAATATACTTAGGTATTTCAAACATGTCCTAAATTTTTGGGGTTTTGGGGTTTTGGGGTTTTGGGGTTTTGGGG